CCGCCGATCACGTATGTAAGAGCGCGCCATCGTCTCGTCGTCAGTGTGTCTAAGCAATACTGAGCCGCCTCCGATATGTGCGCCGAGAGCACCTGGTAGATAAATGCCACGCTATGTCAAGACCCAACATGGCCGCTTGATGGTGGCGAATCCGTTGGTTATTTCGTCGCGCCAAACGGCGACCCGGGCGAAATTCTTAGCCCCGGCTAACCTGGCTTGCGCTGGTGCGGCTTCGCTCGTCTTCCTCCTCGATAACGTCACTCAGCCTCGTGGGGTGATGGTGCCGGGGAACCGTTTCCCATCCCGGGGCACCGTAGCCTTGTCCCGAGTAATCCTGAGGGTTGGAATACGTGCCGGTCCATTGACCTTCGCCAGCCGATGTGGAGGGTGGCTCGTGGCCGCCGCTAGGAGGATTTGTCGTGGCCGGCGTGTCGTACTCCTCTGCTTCCGCGTCAGAACCTGAATATGTCGAAGGCGGCGCAGCGAAGGGAATCTTGTTTCCATGCACATCGAGGATAAAGTTCCCTGCAGCGTCGATGACGTACTCACCTTCGCTGTAGCCGCCTTCTGACCCGCGTCTCGTATGGGCGGCCGTCTGCCCACGGCTCCGCTCCGGGGGATAGTAGCTGCCGCTGGCAGCGGTTGTCGTGGGCGGCGACGTCTGGGCCGGCGCCTGGCTGTGTTCGGGGTAGCCCTGACCATACTCTGGCTGGTAGCCTGGATCCCGCATCGTGGCCTGTCGGCTGGGGACGCCTTGCGTCATGGGAACCACCTGCACTCCACCCACTATGGTCGGTTGGCCCGTCTGGAGAGAGTATGTCCTGTCGCGCTCTTCTTGCTCGCGGCGGCCGAGCTCCTCCCAAGCTCTCCGAGCCTCCTCTTTGGAGATGGCGAGCTCTTTGCGCATCTCGGCAAGTTGTTTCTGGATCTTGGACGATCCCTTTTCTTGGTCAATCGCGTCCCGAATCGCTTCGGCGCGGTCTCGCCTCTCCTTCTGGAGGGCGGCATCCATCATAGCATTGACCTCCTGTGCACGCTCCAGCTCAGCTCTCGTTTCGAAGAACCACCGTTGGAACTTGCGTTCTGAGCTAGCTCGGAGCCTCTGCAGCTCCACGACGGCGTGAAAGAGGTTGGCGCCCGCCGCCGACAGGTCAGTGACCTGGCGGGCGAGCTGCTGGCTCAGGGGGTCGCGATTGACTTCGTCCTTGTTCTGTTCCAGCTTGCGAATCCAGTAGCTCGTCAGGCCTTCCCAGTGAGCAGACAGAGTTTCCCACCGCTCGAATGCGTGAGGGAACGAATTGCGGGGTTTGGATTCGACTGGCTGGATAGTGGTATTTGCCGGCTGTGCTCCAAGGTCTGGCTGCTGGGTCTGCTGGCCAGCTGTCGCCGTATAGCTTTGTGGTTGCGCCTGCGATTGGGCTTGCTGCGATGGGCGTTGTTGAGTCGCCGGTCTCGATGTCGTCGTGGAGACCCGACGAGGCTGGGCAGGTTCCGGTACCGGCTGGCCCTGATGCCGAGGGTCGGCTGGTGGGTGTGTGTCGGTGCCGCTGCCTTGGGGTGCAGCAACGCCAGCAGATCGACGTTCCGAGTTCTTTCGCTGGGCCTCCTCCAGGAGACGGGCCTCCTGCTCGGCTCTCGTGCGCTCCAGCGCCAACTTCTCAGCCTCTGCTCTTTGCCGCGCCTCTCGGGCTGCCCGCTCTTGCATGATCATTCTGGGACCCCTGATGCCAGAAGGGGAGCCGGTGGGCGCAGGCCCAGCCGTCGGGCGGCGTGGCGATGGCATGCCGGCGCCGTTCGTCGCGGCAGGAGCTGCGCTGGCCGGCATGAGGTCGACCATGCTGGCAGACTCCTCGACGACGTCGGCGGTAAAGGGCTGAGGGTGACGGAGAGCCTCCTCGAGTGCGTAGAGTATCGCACTGTGGGTATGCCTGGAGATGCGTAGGGCGGGATGTGCCTCGCCTTGGCCTCGGCGAGAGGAGAAGGATGTGCGTTGGTGTCGGGAGTGTGGTCGATCGGAGGGCTCCTGGACGGGGTCCTCTGTCAGGTCCTGGGAGGCGTATCGCCGGTGACGGTTCTCGTGACGGCCACTCTCCTCGTACAGCGAGGCGTCGAGGCCGGTGACGGACGGGGCTCGTCGGTGGTGCTCAGACGAAGGCGCGCTGGGGGAGAAGCCGACAGAGGCGGCGGCAATGTGCACCCGTCGCGGTTCAGGGCTCGGGCTCGGGGTAGCGACGAGCCGGGGCGTGCGACGGAGCTGTCGCTGGACCGAAGACGAGGGGGTAGACAGTCTCTCGGCAGGATCTGGAGTGGTTGCTTGCTGGAACAGCGGCGTCGGCTGCTGGCGTTGCTTAGGTGAAGGCGTAGGCTCGTGAATGTCGTGCGGCTCGTTGGGAGCAAAAGTCTGTGGCTGGGAAAAGACTCCTGCGCCGACAGGGGCCGGGTGTGAGGGAGACAAGGCGAAGGCGGGTTGCCTCACCACCAGGACTGAGCCGGTGGTGACGTGGACGGCGGTGGAAGCTGGCCGGCCGGCTCAGGTGATGGTGGTGGTGGTGGTTGTGGAGGTGGAGGAGGTCGGGAGCCCGCTTGTGCCGTCGCAGGATGGAGGAGGGGACGGAAGGAAGGAATTGGTGTCACCCCAAAGGCCAAGCAACTCCGAAATACGGAGTCGGAGGAAGAGGGCTCGAGAATAAACGCTGGCGGCGCAAACAATGGGTGAAACAGAAACGTCCCGTGTCCCAAGGATCAAGGGAAGCGTGTGAGTCGGACCCTGGCGATGCCAAAATATGGTGGCAGGAAGGGCCTGGAAAATGGGGGGCTGGAGAGCTGCGCTCCGCTGCGCTTCGCTGCACTCTGCCCCAGCACCACCTGCACCTTTCGCCCGCCGCCAACAGCCGTCGAATCAACCACGCAACGCGCGAGGCTTCCTCGTCGGCCGTGCACGTGGCAAAAGCAAAGGTGTTGTTTTTTTCGCAGCCTTTAGGCGCCGTTGCCGTCGTTGGATGCCTTGCGCACTGCGATGCGCATGTGCGTCCGGCCGCTCGAGGCTGAGGTGCTCAGCGTCGCATGGGCGGCACCGCGACCACCACCACAGCTGCCACACCACAACCGCCCGCCCGGCTGGCCCTCCCAATGACGATGACGACGGGGCCGCGAGAGCGAGGCGAGGCGAGGCGAGGCGGCAGGCGCATCAATTGGCTCGGTTCAAGCTGTCGAGGCGGCAGACAGGGCTTGCGATTGGGACTCGACGGCGACCATGGCCCGGCGAGAGGGCAATGCCGTCCCGCGCAGCGCCTAGAATGTCCGAGGTTGCGGCATTGGCTATCAGAGGAGGTTGGGCGGCGCTGGGACCACGGACGAAGGAGAGAGAGGGAGATACGAAAGGAAAGAGAAGAGGGAGCGGGAGAGAGCCGGCCACCGTCCAGGGCCGAGGGCAGGGGGGGGGCGAGACAGGGCGCGGGCGGCTTGCTGGGATGGGCCAAGGTACCCGAGCTGGAGCGCAGGTGAGTTCAGGTTTAGTGCCGAGCTGGACAACGCATCAAGCCATCCATCCATCCATCCATCGCCTCTCTTTACGTCAGAGCATGGCGCATGGCCGTTGAGATTGCCAGCCCAGCCAGCCCAGCCCAACCCAGTCCTTTGGTGTACCCGGCCCGCCGGGTTGGGGGCGACGAGGATCTGCAGGCCGGGGCTGATCAACGCCGACGGTTGTTCGCTTCCGCCGTTCCAAGGCCGCGAGGTTGAAGCCAACCTCCAGCAGGGCGTCGTCCCTTGAGAGCTCACAGTGGGCGGCTTTGCAGTCGCAAAAACCTGGCTGCTCTGCCACGCGCCCCGTCCCGCTCCTCGTCGAGCAATATGCCAGACGAACAAACGAAAAGGTGGCCCGCGTCTCCAGACGCAAACCGTGCGCCGCGGCCGTCGCCCCTGACAGCCCAGGAGGCCCTTGCCCGTGACCTGCCTGCATCTGAGACCGCAGGCAACGCGCGCAATCGCACCACATCGCGGTAATTAACGCGCCGGGGCGGCGCCCATTAGATACCGGCCCCACGGGCGCGCTCAGATCATGGTGCTAGCCCGGGCGGAGCGCCTACCTGACGGAACAACCTGATGATGGGGTAGCCATCAAGTCACTCCACCCACAGTTCGCGGGTGCCCCGCAAGCTGGCATCCATCCATCGTCACCTGGTCGGACTGCCGGCGAGCCCCCACGCACTCCTGTTCCATTCAAGGAGCTGTGTTTCGTCGCATGCTATGCGCATGCGATGCGCCGCCTGCTGTTCTAGACTTGGACACACGTGCTCGCCAGTCCCTGAAACTCAGTTCTGCAATTGCATTCCAGCGCTACCTTATTGTGCTGGGGACGGGCGGCTGCGGGACGGCCCTGGGCCCGAGGAGCTGGGCGGGCTTTCAGGCGTCCACATGGCCAATCGGGCAACTTGGGCGACACTCCGGGCCCCGCCAAACTCGCCGTCTGTCGCCGCAACGCTTGTTGGAGCCAGGTGTTGCCTGTCTGAAAAGTGTCTACGAGGTACGAGTAGCAACATTGGGCGCGGCGCATTCATACCTTCCAATAATAGACAGAACACTATGGTTCGACACCTGCATAGCTGACGTTGATCAATGACAGCTATTCGAGTACAGATGTGTTTTCGACCAGCGCGGATGACCATTGCCAATTGCATCGCCAAGGGTGGCCGTTGAACAACGGAGTGTTGATGTTCTCACCTGGTTGTTCACGACACATCAGCCAACACCGGCTTTACACCAGAGATAGCCAACAACACACTGACGCAGCCACAAAACCAGCATACTTCTATCAGTATTTTGTAATATTTCAGATCTCTTCCGGAATCCTTGAACCCTGTCAAACGACCTCGCTCACGTGGTCCCGGGTAGTGGTCGCAGTCCCATCTGGACACCCCATTGGACGGAGGAAGTGGGTCGAGGCGGATATTGATGCCAAACCAGTATAAACCAAAATAACGCAACGTTTTTCAACAATTGGGGGGCTGGCGCAACGGTAGCGCGTCAGATTCCAGTACTTGGAGATTCCTGAAGGTTATCCGTTCGAATCGGGTGCTCCTCAGTTTTTCTTTTGTTTTTGCTCGCAGATTCGTTTTGAAGTTGGCACACTGCACATTTCACTCTTTTTGACGGCGGAACACATCGCTCCATATTTTTTTTTACTTTTCATTTTTTCTTGCCCCCAAGGGTCCACCTACTCGTACACGCCTGTGTGATCATCTGAAACTGGCATGGTTTTGCGTCTTCCCGATTTCCATAGCTTCACAATTTGGCCTGTCAATTAACTAAGTTTTCTTGATACTTCAAGCAGTGTCCAAGACAACGACCTCGGCTTCCGCCTCTCCAATGCTTTCCACCGCCAGCTTGTCGCCCGCGTTGACGCCCTCGATGAAGGCGCCGTCGCCCTCGGCAAGCTCGGCGTCCTCGCGCCCATCCAGGCGGATCTTGGCCTTGCCGTTCTTCGTCATGCACAGGTGCACGTAGACCTTGCGCTTGGTCTCCTGCGTCGCCTTGCCGCCGACCGTCCACTCGAAATTGGCGCTCGGCGCTATGAGACCCGCCGCCATGGCGAAGTCGGCGTGGATGGGGATAGTGCCCGGGACGGTCGGCTCCGCGTCCTGCTCCTGCTTGGCCGTGGCGTCCTGGCCGCCCTTGAGCGGGCTCAGGATCGTCACGAAGCCCTTCTTCTTGTCCTCCTCCTCAAAGTGCTGGGTGTGGTAGCGCGGTGCGAGGCCGCGCTTCCAGGGGACGGCCCAGATCTGCAAAAAGTGCACCGGGTCCGTCTTGTGCTCGTTGAACTCGGAGTGCGCGATGCCCGTGCCACCCGTGGTGAACTGCACGTCGCCGCGGTGCATGCGGTAGAACTTGTCCGACTGGCCGCCCTCCTTGCCCTTGGCGAGCATGGAGTCGCGGTGCGTCAGCTCGCCGGACAGGATGTAGCTGAAGATCTCAAAGTCGCGGTGCGGATGCGTCGGGAAGCCCGAGTTGGCCTTGACGCGGTCCTCGTTGAGCACCCGCAGGCTGCCAAACTGCGTGAAGTCCGGGTTGTACCAGCTGGCGAAGGAGAAGCTGTGGTACGTGTTGAGCCAGCCGTGGTCCGCGTGCCCGCGGGCGCCGGACCGGTGCGGCGTGATCTTGGCCTGACGCAGGGCTGACTTGCTCATGTTGGCGGCGGACTTGATCATGGGTTGTTGATCCAGCGTGTGTGTGTTTGTAGTTGTGGTTGTGTTTATGATGTGGTTATTCAGAAAGCTGGTGATGCTGCTCCTTGTGATGCTCGATATGTGCCCTGGTGTAACTGTGTAGAGTATGGAGATTGAAGCAACCAAAATTGCCGTTGCGAGAACGAAGCGAGACATATATAGACGTCGAGATGGTAGTCTGGAACCGCGAGGAAGCTTCTTGCTACGGAAAATATGGGAATTGGTGGATGTTCAAGTAAAGATCACGTTAAATATCTAGCCTAAACTCGCGTGTTCCTGTCGAGCGACGGCATTACCAAACCATTCTTAAGCGTGAAGTGAGCCGCATTGGGGAAGGCGACGGGTAGCGGGCCATTGACGTGTGACAGATCTGGGGTGCGGTGCTTTGCAGATTACACAATGCTGACATTCCCGGGAGGGCGACAAAATAAACCGGATTTGATTTTGTCCACTAATATGAGCTAATCCCATACGGATCACGTGGTCTCCTTCGGATGTGCGCCGAGGGCTCTGCGCGGGCCGCCAGGGCAGAGTCCGGACAGCGAGAGCCGGACATGACGGGAGTTTTCTTTGCATTCCCGTTTACGACAATGATGGTGGTGCTGGGATGCGGAGCTCAGCAAAAGAAGACAAGGAACGAAAATTCTTATCATCAACACGCGGTTCGTTGACGCGGGCGTTGGATGGTGCTCTCAAAGTCCACGCGTGGGAGCCACAACCAACTCACAAGCACCGCACAGACAGCTCCGGCCCCAGAAACCACCAGCCGGAGCCGTGCCGGTGCGCTCCGACTCGCTGCCCGGAGTCGAGGAGCTCCCTGCGTCCGTTCAGCTCCTGCAAGGGTGGCCCGGGCGACGCTGTATGTTTCTCGTCGTCGAGTTTTTTCTTCGCATCATCCCTGACGAGGCACGGGCGTGCACTACCCACGCATCGCGCTCTTGAGATGTGCAAGGAGACAACACGCGCAAGGCAAGGTACTTGGCTGTCTGTGTGCTCAACTACATGCACGTTGCAGGAGGTGATGCAGCACGATGGTCCAGGAGTTCAGATGTGCCGGCCTCCCAAGGTCCCAGCTCCCCAGCCTCCCGAAAAAGCGGGGCCTCCTTCGCCGCCACGCCGTTACGAGATGCAGGAGCGCCCGACCAGCGCACCTGCATGAGGCGCTGAAGCCTCGACGAATATTCCAAGGTCCCAGCGCCGCCCATCCGTCACCGTCTCTTCTCCTTCCTCGCAACCATCGCGCAAAAAAAATCCCATCCTCTCCTCCAGCACCGCGACTTGTTGTGTCTGACGCCGCTCCGCGCGCCCCGTTCAATCGCCATTGTCTCCCGTGTAAGTGGGCTCTCTGCTTCGTGTCTGGGGCAGGTGTGATTCAGGCGGCTACAGCCGCTGGGCGAGGGTCGCGGTGGGGCTGGGACCGCCGGGTGGCTGGTTGTCGATTCGGCGCCTAACACACGGCAAGCCTCTCGTCATGTCTCCCAGCCTTCTCAACGCTTCCTGTCGAGTCGTCCATATTTCTTGTTTGCGCCTCTGCATGACGGGTCTTCTTCTTGCATTGCATTCTTGCACGACTAATTGGCTTATTTCTGTCCAAGTGGGTGGGTTGGCTTGCATTGGAATGCTGCCAGTATGAACTCTCAACGCCCCAAGGTCGAACGTCTGGAAGCGCCCGGTACACGTACGTCGTGATGACGCCCAATGATTTGGCTTTCGAGGTCGGAATCGGAGAGACTGATGCTTCGCTCTAGATCAACGGCGGCCGCACGAGGCACCGCGCCAATCCTCACCGGACGCCCCAGATCACAACGTTCGCCCCCAAGATGAGCCTCAACGGACCTTAGCCCAACATTCCTCTCCAAACCAGTCTTTGTCGCCGCAGCCGACAGTTGTTCCCGCAAAACCTTCGCCCAAATCCCTGTCTCAGTCGAGTCCGGAGATATACGGACCAGACCGACTGCTACCACCCGTTGCCCCCCAAGTGTCCGTACCGGGCGATGCCGCCAGTATAGCGCAAAGCTCTACAGTGCGCTTCGACGAAGCACAGCTGGCCATGTTTGCGGCCGACAATGCGGCCCGGATGGGAAATAGCCTCAAGGACGAACTGGCTATTGCCGCCGGAAAAGTCACGCCCGGCGTCGATGACACACCTTACATTCAGTATGCGCTCGAGGCACTTACACGGGACAGGCGCAGCAACTCCACTCAGCACGTTACGGCGCCCACATCTGGGAGACAGCCCTATCTGTCCGACGTCCCCCGGCGAATACCAGACGAGGAACTCGCGTTTCTGGCCGTGACTCAACCCCAGCCGGTGTATGACAATACCAGACAGCCGAGTAACGTCAGGGAGCCACGGGCCGGCCCGTCATTACCAACGACGGCTCCAGTTGTTGCTTTCGCCACACCTGCCTCCCCATCGACGTCCTCGCTGGATGAAGTTCCGCCGGCGTCAAATCAGTGGATCGCGGTGGACAGGGCAGCCCTGCAAACAATCGACCCGCGCGGCCGAACATATCCACCACTTACATACAAGCCGCGCATATTACGACCATTCTCCATGATAATATTGATGATCTCATGCCTCTTGATGATAGCGGCGCTCATATTTTCCGACCGATTTTCATCCCAGCGCAACGGGCTGACGCCATATCCTGGGACCATCTACTCTGGGCAGTACTTTGTGTTTCGCATCCTGCCACAACTGCTGGCTGCAGTCATACTCATCTATGCGCAAAGCATTGTTTCGGCGTCTGTTCGAATTCTCCCCTTCACGACTACGGCGAAAGAGGATCCTCGGGAGCGATACCTTGCATTGTTTCAAAGCTTATACCCAACATCTTTTTTGCGACCGCAGCTGATTGGCCCGTGGCAGCTGATGGTTTTTGACCTGGCAACTTGGGCTGCCATATTTACGGTCCCGCTGCAGAGCGTGGCCTTTACGTGTGTTTTTGTAGGAGAGAAGTGGATATGGACTCCCTCTCAAGGCGTTGTGTGGGCCTTGGTCGGCTTGTACGCCTTTCTCCTCGTTGCTACCAACCTTCTCATGGCTTTCTGGTTCAAACAGTGGACTGGCCTGAGATGGGACATGCGATCCATTGCAGATCTCATCCCTTTGGTTAACCGGACCAACACTCTAATCAGCTATAAACAGCGCGCACTCTCCGAGCCACACCACGACTTCAAGGGTCGATTGACCGACCGATGGTTCGACCGGCTCGGGTACTGGCAGACGGAGGACGCACTGAGTGGCGGTATCTGGCACTCCATCGGAACTTCAGCCGCCTCTCCGGCTTATGGACCCCATATTCATGACGAGCAGGTCAAGCGAGAGAGTTTTGACGTGTCCCTCGGGTCGCACGAACTGAATGGCTTTGGCATGGGCGGGGGCAGTCATCTCCCATGGTGCTTGCGAGATGTGCCGTTGATCGTCTTTGCCGTCATAAGCTGGCTAATTCTTCTGGCTCTGCTGGTCGTCTCGTTTCTGCCGCAAACCCGACTTGAAGGAGGATTTTCGCCCAGGCTCACCGCGAAGCCCGATGAGGCTGCCTTTTCTCCCGCAAACTTCGTGTACGGCTTCATCCCCTCACTTGTCGGGATGATCCTTTGGCTCCTGTTCCAGAGCTTGGATCTCTCGTTGCGGATTGTGCAACCTTGGGGAGACATGGTCAAACTGGAGGGAGCCGTCGCGCGGCGATCCATCCTCGCAGACTACGCAGCATGCCTTCCCCTTCAGGCGACGTGGAAAGCCCTCTCCAACGGACACTGGCGGGTGGCGGTGACATCTCTCATGGGCGTGTTGTTTGTTTTCATACCAGTGTTGGCGGGCGGGTTGTTCATGGCCCTGACGGCGGATGACGAG